CGACCACCAGAGACTCGCTCACTGACATCAACCTGTCAGGTAGGAGCCGGTCGTGGTTGGCTGTAAGTCCGCCTGCATTTGACTTGCTCCCCCTAGTGGCTCAATTCTGCATTCCTAATTGAATGGCAAAGTCACGGTGGATAGTGGATATGTTAAATCTATACATTAATTCCATAGATGCAATTGGAACATTTTCCTCTAAGGTAACAACATCATTTACAATCCTGCAGAGCATTATACAAAGTATGCACTTAGTTTTAACAAACAAAAATTCCAGTCGTTATGTTAGTACAAAACCCAAAGATATCATTTTTGATATGATATACAGAGAAAAACAGAAAATCTCTACTTTTGTAATGCTGAAAAAAGCAGTTTCTGACATTTTGGCATTCAAATATTTTGACTTTGAAATAATGGCAATTATTTTGTTGTCGGTTTTCTTTTCCATTAGTTGTATTTTTATTCTCAACTACAGCTCTAGTGGATTTAAAAACATAAATCAATCCATACACCTGCATTTTTTTGTGGTTAAGTGCAATAGTTAATATGCACACCTTAGTAAAAATTATGCGGTCCAATACTACAATCCATTAATAAATCTGATCAGGGTTTCTGTTCAAACTATTTCAGAGAGGTTGTCTTTTTTTCACAAATGCTAATAAGATTAAAGTCAGACACTTTTGTTCCAGCAATACAATCAAATGTGAAAAGCATTAAATTAGAGAGCCATTATGGAAGCAGCTGAGGGGCAAATGCATTTTGGCTTTCTGTGTCAAACAGTTCTCACCATAGAGAACCTTTTGGCTTCACGTCTTATAACATCCTAGTGTTGATTAATCCCTGCATGTCATATCTTTTGTCAGTATCGGTGACCCGTTATACTCCATGTGTTCCTTCTCTCCTAACACGGTGTCTCCCTGCAGTCTGTAACAGGGTCACTGACCAGTCGCTGACCTACTTCAAGCGCTGTGGGAGCGTCTGTCACATCGACCTGCGATACTGCAAGCAGGTGACCAAGGAGGGCTGCGACCAGTTCATCGCAGAAATGTCCGTCAGCGTGCAGTTTGAACTGATAGAGGAGAAACTGCTGCAAAAGATCAGCTAGGAGCACACTGTGACATTTAACATTTAAGTGAAACTACTGTCCACACGGAGGCAGCAGATGACTTGTAGAGAACGACGCTGTGTTTCGTCAACATATGCAGACGACTCAACAGACACCAGGACCGTCTGTCTGTCTCTGTGAAACCATGAAAAGGGAAGCTGTGCTGTTAAGCCCGAATGTAAAAAAAATGGAAATCTTGTCCTGTTAAGGCAATATCGCAAAAATGTTTCTGTTGTTGTTTGCACCCGTTTCTAAATTATTTATTTCTTTATATATTGATTGTTTATGTATTGTATCATGACTATCTTTTGGTGTTTATAGATTATTTTTTGTTCAAATGCAAAGTTTGTTGCATTAGAGTAATATTTTTGTATCAGAAAGTGTTTCATACATTTATGTGCAGTATTTATGCACCACTGTACAGTATCATACCATTGGAATTGATAATCAATCGGCATTACTGTTACACTCTTTATTGTTGAGAGGCAAAGGTCCAATTATATGTTGCCAAAACGTAGGATGGTAGCTTGTGTTTGTATTTTTTATATTTTATTATGTGCCCCGTTTCTGTTCGGACTAAGGTACTGTACATTTTGTTTTCCGTATAAGGATACCATTTGCACTGATACAGTAAATATGAATACATGAATGTTTTCACACATACACTATAAAGTGTACAAAGCATATTTTTTCAACAATGTCCGGCTATTTCTGCTAACAGCTTCTAGTTATCAGGGTTATATTAACACATAGCTGCAAACAAATGTCTCTCTGCTTGTGAAAGGAAGCGCTTTATCTCCGCATGCAGCAAAGAAATATGCTTACACCACAGTCAATAGATTCAGTAACTGTGTAACAATATAATCACCTGTTTACTCCAGTCATTATCCAAACTCCATATAATCAAAAAGAGGTGAATTATTCTGGAAATAAAGACACAACAAAGTCCAGGAAAATATATCACATTTGCAAAAATCTTATAGAAGAGACATGTTTCTCCTATTTGTCAAAAGTGCAATGTGTAAAGAAATGTATCGTGTATGTTCCCCTGACTGCACACATTTGAGCAGAGGGAACAGAATACTGTTCTTTTCAAAAGGGCAAAATATCGTATTTAGAAGATGTAAAGCAATTATCGATGAATCATTCCAGCCATCCATCTCCGAACACCAGCTTCTGACATAAGGTTAAGAAATCCTGTTAAAAACCAAAAGCACTGTTTCTTTTTTGTAAAATATGAGACAGGATTTATGGCCCGATGCCATTCAGTATTTGCCATTTGAAGAAACTGCAAAAATAAAAACGTATTTCATAAAAGATTTGTGCATATGTAAAAGTAAAATAGGATTTGTTGATTGTTTTATTTTGTAGATTATACTGAAGACCACTATTGACACTGACTCTTCATTTTAAATCATGCTTTAAAGTTGTATTTGAATTTAGTTAAACATCTGATGATAAAGTACTTGCAGCCGATGCTGTCAGACAGCAGCCTTTTCACAAATGACACATTTATTCATCATAGTTTTTGAAGCCATTTCAAAAAAGATAATTTTGCTATTTAAAAAGAAGATGTTTAGAAATCAATGGTTTGATAGGTACGCATTTTTCTTGAAAAAAACTTTTTTAAGGATAAAGCAACTTTGCAATAGTGTTTGATTTTCAGAGGATGGGTTTACATTTGCATTGTATCTGTTTATTTTTTTTACTTAACCACTATGTCTCCATGAACATTTTAGTGACTGTAAATCTGTACATAATGTACATGTAAAGCCTCTAGGAAAAGTTAAGTCAACCTTTCAGATATTAAATTCATTTTAAATACTGAGCTGTGTGCATTTGAAGCCTTTGTTTAAAGGGGCCCTATTATGCTTTTTGGGGGGTTTCTCTTTCCTATAATGTTTTGTTTTTGTGCATGTACATGGTCTGCAAAGGCAAACATCCCAAAGTTCCCTCCGGAGGGAGTTTCTCTCCCACACACCTCGTTCTATTTGCTAGCGCGCCAACACATTGTACATGATAGGCTAAGGGGCGGGACATCTCTAAGCAGTTGACCAATCAGATCATACTGGGCTCTGGTTTCAGACAGAGGGTGAAAAGAGGTGCTGCAGCACAGGCAGTGTGAGAAAAATAAAGAGCTTTTTGAACATTCAAAGATTTTAAACATGTCCCAGTATAGCCACAGAATACAAATATGAATCCTGAAAATGAACATAATAGGGCCCTTTAAGTAAGAAACATAATTATAAAAAGAAACACTGCAAATCAGAAAAGTGACAATTAACCAAATGCCAACCACTCAACTGTCAAAGTGAACAAAATCAAGCCGTTTACAAATGAAAAGCAGATTTTTACTTTCTTGTTTGTAGTACTGCATTTTATTGAATCTAATAAATCATTTTCCCAAAATAAAAAGGTTCAACATTCCAAAATATAAAGATCCAGGATTATGAGTGCGGCTCATGATGACCTCCTACTCTGAAAGTACTGTAGCTGCCCATGAATGACATCTTTGAGAATCAGCAGCATCGACAAACAGATGTACAGTTACAGCGTTGGTTACAGTACATGTGTCAGAGTTCAGATCTGAAGCAGACGACGACAAAAAGTGCTAGAAAGCGCGACCATGGCAGACGCGACTTTATTTGAGAGTGTAACACGATCAGATAAATGAGGAACCATCCGACCAAAACCAGTAGATACATTCTGAAGAACGGTAGATTTAATTTAATATAACTTTAAAATCATGTTGTCTCCCAAGTGAATGGAAAAATATACATTTAATGAATTATAAGTAAACAACAATATAAGCTACCTATGCGATCCACTTAACAGCTTTTTTATTTATTTTTTTAAACGTACCACAGGCATACTGTACACACAGATATTTTAGTGACATCTGAGTTAAATGGATCTCATGACAAGAAAACAAAATGTTTCTTTTGCATAACAGGTTAAAGTAAACCAAGCTTCCTCTACTTCTCACTGTGTGATATTTGGAGGGACGCCTCGACAACATGACAAAGGGTTTGTTGATGTCACACTCAGAAAAGAGGAAATAGCACCTGTCAACTACCTAGGATTTCCACATGTCAACGGACAACACAAAGAAAAGACACTTGGTAGACTCGGAAACTAAATGGTATTGCTTGGTGGCAGTTATTTAAATTTAAAGAGGGATGATTCCTAGATTAAAATAGTACAAACAAAGTCTTTCACTCAAGGCTAACCTATTAGCTTTTTATTAGCACATGGTCTTCCTCAGGAGAAGGACGAGGCAATTCAGAGGATCTCCTGTCATGGACCTAAGATCACGGACGCTGACCTTTTACTGCTGATGAAGCCCGTGAAATTTGAAAACCTAGTAAAAAGTGACTGATTGAGCCTTGAGTTCATATTTTTTGTCAAACTGCTGTTTTGAAATAAGTTGAATTACCAATCAACTCAAGCCATGTAACAGGAATGTAGTGCAGCCTGTGGTGTGACCAAGAAGAGTTTATTTTCCGTTCAAGTTTGTGCACTTTTAGATAACAATCACATCCTTCACACAGCAAAGTGTTCAAATATTTACTATTACACCCTTTTTTTCCTAAATTTCATTTGAGAAAAAACAGAGTAAACTATCACACCAAGCTTGCTGGCGATGCGACGCATCAACTGTGAAATCCTAACCAAATATCGATCAAAAAGGCATGACGTTTGGCACCTTACACCCTCCTGTGTGTGAGACGAGATGACCTGGTGCTCGGATTAATAAATACACATTTAATAAAAACACATGTAAGTCTCTTTTTTTTCTGATATTGCACATCCTATAAGAACACTGAGGGAGATAACATGGTGTCATGTGGCATGACTGTGTAAACCATATTGACTCTAACCCTGGGATCTTATATTTTTCTGCTCCTCTTCACCGCACACAACAATCCGATCCGCTTCAAGTATCTGTGGGACCCCCTCCTCTCCTCCCCTTTCTCTCCTCTCCTGTGAGTAAAATCTAACAACAGCCAATAGAGAGCAGAACGTGATGGCAGGGCTTTCCACTGTGTGTTTAACAGACCAAAGAGAGAAAGAGTGAGTGTCCCGGTGCAGCTGATGACGGTCCGCCAGGAGGAGAAGTGGGTCTGGAACATGAGTTAGTAAGGAGGGGAAAAACAAACCGAGGAAGGCCAGAGGCACCAGTCTGGTTTCAAACACCGGGGAGTTGCCGGCGCCCGTGCAGCTTTAGGCCCTGCGAGGCGTCATGCACAGCAGTTCATCCTCAGGGAGAAATTCAGGGTTCTGGCGCGTGCACGCCTGAGGGCTGCTCCGACGCTCACACACAGAGTTTTAAGACTTGAAGACGTGCACGGCCCGCACTACATACTGCCTGCAGATGGGGCACTCGCTCATCCTCTTTCCACATTTGGTGCAGGTTACCATGTGACCACATTCCAGCAGCACGCAGTCGATGATGGCATCCATGCAGATGCGACACAAGTTATCATCAGCCGCCAGCTGAGCTTTGACACCATCTGTGGATGGAAAACAGTTATTCTTCAGTTACAATGGGTCTCTGCAGGGTCGTCAAACTACAAGAGAAATACAGATGGTGTACAGTATAACAACACCCAAGTTAAGCTGCTGCAGTATGAATATAAACATGATTTATCACTGTTTGTTTATCCGCAGCAGTTCCTCTCTTATGTATCCCTGTACTGCAACAGGTTTGTAGCTGTTATTTAGTATCACAGTTGGTTAGTAAAAACATTTTCCCAAACATAACTGTTATGAAAAAGTGCCCTTGCTTTGTGCACACCTTGAACATGTTAGGCTTCACTGTGAAATAATCCAAACCACTGGTGGTGTTACAACTCAGTTAGTTTAACAATTAAGGTAGTTACGTTGAAAAATGACTGATCTGATCCACTGAAGTCAAGCACAGTGTTATTTCAGTAAGGCCTATTGTGGGATTGTAGTTATACAAACAAATGTATATTTATGTTCAAATTCCTCAGGATAAAATTGAAATGTAGTGTTTTAAACATGTTGAAAAACATCATCATGCAGTGGAAAATGTAACTGCACAAACAAAGTGAGATATTAATGGTAGAGGGGTGGTCATGGAGAAATGGAAAACTAAATGATGTGACTTACCTAGGATAATATATTTGTCTTCCAATAAGGTGGATGGGACAACTATGTTAAATGTTTAAAATAACTGACATGTTACTTTTACAAACCAAGCAATCAGAACAGAGAAGTGCACCTGGTTAAAGTTACCAAAGGGGCCCTATTATGATGGTTCTGATTGGTTAACTGGCCAGCTCTGTTGTGATTGGTCAACCGCCTAGAGATGTCCCGCCCCTTAGCCTATGAAGTACAATGTGTTGGAGCGCTAGTCGATAGAAGTGCCAGTGTTTCAAAGTGATGTCATTATTTTAAAAGTAAACCAAGGAGTCCAATGGAGGGATTTCAGGTGGGGGGGGGGAACACACAGGGATTTTAGCCTTTGCAAACCATTTACATGCACAAAATATATGAAACACTACAAGAAAGGGAAAACCCCATAGCATTTAAAGGCCCCTTTAAATGTCTGATTGCTGTCTGAGAGCTCAGTGGCCTATATCTGGCTCCTGCTCCCATCTTGTACGACGGTTATACATAATTGGAGCTGCCTGCTGTCCCTAAATATCTGAATATCAAGTGGGCTAATATGATCCTCAACCTCTTATGTCAACAAAAGAGCCTCTATGAAGCTCAATAATGTAATTACACCTGAAGGAGACATGCTGCTACTGAAGTCACATGATGGCTCATGGAGAAGTAAAAGCTCTTAGACGGTGCATTAATGACAGGATGAGAGGATGCCCTCTAAAAATAAACAAACACGAGTGACTGAATGTGGAGAAACTGAATCAGGCAGGAGAAAATGACCATAATGTGATAATATGCAGGGGGATATAAAGCATCGAGTGGGTACAAATGATGCGGCATGCCTTTACTGCTATGAGATGATTAATGCACGGTTAGCGTTCATGGAAGAGATGGAAAAGGTGGCTTTTTATAAAAACATCTTACCTCCAACTCCACTGTTGCAGAGAGGTGGAGGATATGCAACCACTTTATAGATAAGAATAGGCAGTAATAAAGAAATATTAGTCCAGGAAACAGTCGATTAAGCCTTTAACTTAAAACAATGTTGTTTTCCATCACTAAAATCACAGGAGGGAGCTTACTGCACTTGCATGTCGATTTAATACGGTAATATTAGTGTTCAATATAAATGTAAAGCATTGTCATAGTCTAAACCAGCGGTTTTCAAAGTGTGAGGCGCGCTTCCCCTGGGGGGCGCCAGAGAGCTTCAGGGGAGGCGTAGCGTGAGACACAAAAGAACGAGAAAAAGACGAGTAAAGTGACACTTGTGGCTGTCTGTGGAGACCGAGTTCCCCCACCTCGCCAAAAAGGCTGTAAAAGTGCTCATTCCCTTCACCTCCACCTACCTGTGTGAGTGCAGGTTTTCCGCATTGACTTTGATCAAAAGCAAGTACCGGTAAATGCTGCAGCCAGAGTATGATCTGCGTTTATTCCTGTGTGCATCAAAGACGCAGACTCATTGTTCCCACTAAAGTATGGGTGAGTGTAATAAGGAGGCAAAGTTGACGTTCAGTGTGTTACCGGGAGCATATAAGGATGTATCCACGATGTTGAAAATGTAAAAAAAAAAAAATGTCTTGACAACACGGCGTGCGGAAATATACGGGTCGTGCTGCAGCTAGATGTGCCTGTCCTCTGTAAGAAGGTGTCGGCGACTGACATACAAGGAAGAACGGCTGTCCACAGGCTGTTCCAACTTTAACAACTGTATTAACTTCCAGGGTAGTGAATTGAACATGCAATTGTAATTGGGTGTGTGGTATATTTTCATGCACGGACACGCATGTTCCACAACACACAAACTGAACAACACTCAATTTTCCGATCAGCGTCCTTGCGATCTTGTTATAATAACAAGTGCACGTTACTGATGCAAAGACCATTCGGGCTTATTCTAGAGGGGTGCAAGGAATAGTCCAAGTAGTGGGGGAGTTTTATACAATATGTTTAAAACATAAAAATAAAAAGGTTTAAAAAAGTTATTGTTTAATGTTTTAAGGAGGTGACGCTACTCAGCCAATCAAATCGGTGCAGTCAGCACGATAGATTCAAACACACGACAAGAGGAGAGAAACAGTCGGAGTAATTTCAAATGGCGGAAGGTAGACAGCGAAAACAGAGCATTTAATTACATTTTCTCTTACTGGACCTCTTTGAAATGCAATTGAATACCCGTGCATNCCCAATGAATAAAAATATCTATATATATATATATATTCATCCGGGCAAATAGCATGGTTTACTATATTCACCCGGTAGGAAATGGCATGGATTATTATATTCACCCGGGTGTAAATAGAAGATGTAGATGAGCCAGATTTCTTCCTTTTATTGCAGTAGTTTACAGCGAAATACTTAAAAACAAGAAAAACTGACTTCATACTAAAAACAGCACCATATATCACGTGATTAGTATTTTACCATTTGCATTCAAATGTGTCATACACACTAAATTAATGTCAGTTTTAAAAAGCTGTTTAAATATAGACAAATACAGTTTACAATATCTTATTTCAAATTAAATTATATTAAATGTGTCCCTTTCCAGTAATCTGGTTGATTAGGGTTTACATTGGAAAATTAAAAGCGTTTTAAAAGAATGATGAAGGAGTTAAAAAAACAAAGAAACATTGCAAAACTATGAATCCAAGTATGGTAATTAGGATTATTTTATATTCATATTTCAGTTTAAAATCTAGAAGACCTTAGGCAATTTGCCGATTGATTTTATGTTTCAGTAAATACTAACAAGTCAATTGATATACATATTTTTGATTCCTTGTTGAAGGGATGGTTGGCAGTGATTTTCACACTTACTGTATGTATCTTGGGCTATAAACATGAATAACCCACAAGAATCTGAAAGTCTATCACAAACTAGGAGAAGGAGGAAGAGATGATCTATAAGGGATAAGAGGATGTACTGTAGTGTTTGTCATGCTGTGCTGCAGCTGTGATGCTGTGGGGAGTTCTGAACCTGTGCACCCGTTACATAACAGACTCAGCCTGTGTACAAGACCTAAAAAAAGCAAAGGGCTTAAGCTGCATCGCTGGCTGGTCTGACACACACACACACACACACACACACACACACACACACACACACACACACACACACACACACACACACACACACACACACACACACACACACACACACACACACACACACACACACACCAGCTGTTTCCAGCTGTCATGTGCACATTCTACGCAATCGTATAGCATCTCAGTAAATCTGGGCTTGTATAATATTAATGTGGGAAAGAAATCTACTGGAATGTTGAGTAAAAAACTCCATTCCGAGCAAAGCACCTCAAGACTATTCAAACGAAGAAGATAGCAAAAAGCAAGCACAATAAAGTGTTAAACAAAATGAAGGAAACAACTTCTAAGGAAAGAGGGCATTTGTTTGTCAGGCAGTCAAAAGGAAGAAGTCTTCTCCTGACTTCACACTGACACATGTAAATAAGCAGATTTCACCTTTGAAATTAATTATCTTGGATATAATGAGGACAGATGTGAAGGAAGTTTGGCGTATGCAAATTAGATAACGAGTGAGCGTGTGTGTGTGTGTGTGTCTGCACAGTGTTGTCTATATGCAGACACGCACTGAGCCTCAGTCTCTCACCTGGCTGGTCCCTGAGCTGTCACTGGGGCTGAGGACGTCTCCCTGAGAGGCGGAGAGGGCCGACTGTTCGGAGGCGGAGCGTGTGGCGGAGGGGGGGGAGGTGGGCCGCGAGTGGGGGAGCGAGTGCAGACTGTCTGTGTCCTCCTCCCCTTCGTCTTCCTCCTCATCCTCCTCTGCGTCATCCTCATGTGTGTCCTCCTCGTCCTCCTCCTCCTCATCCTCCTCCTCCTCGTCCTCTCCCTCCCCCTCCCCCGGTGTGGAGGTTTCTCTCGTCCCCTGATGACACAGCACCAGGTCCACCAGGTCCTCTTTCTCCCTGCAGGTGTCTGTGGAGATGTTGCGCAGCAGCAGGTACTGCCGTAGGTCTTTGACGCGGAGCTGCATGAGCCGCGGCCTCTGGAAGGCGGTGCTGCGGAGCAGGTGGCAGGTGGAGCAGCAGCGCAGCTCCTCCTGCAGCACCGAGCACAGGGCGCAGAAACTCTTCTTGCAGTCACAGCAGATGTGCTGTTGGAGGGTGTTAGACAATCAGAATCAGAATCAACTGCTCCACCTGTTAAAAATCAAAGATTGTTGGTCAACCCTGTCAGAGACTTTATGACTCAGTATATCATAATAACCTAGTGAGGCTGTCCAACAACATCAATCTCCGACCCAAACCATGTTCTGAACAGCGAATAACTTCTACCATCTAATCGGAGATACAGGGTCCCACGATTCAATAAAGTCAGACTGAAGCATCATTTGTGCATCAGTCAATCCTCACAGTAAAAAGAGAGCTCCATCCCAGATCAAATGAACGCTAAAGGGTCTTTGAAAAGGTATTCTCTCAGTGATTGTGATGTTGTGTTAAATGTTTTGATGTTTGTTTTTCATGTATTGTGTCTTGATATTTGTCTATATTGATGTTACATTTCAGACTTGATCTGACCAATAAAGTATTATCGTATCGTATCAGAATACCTTTATTAGTCCCACAGAGGGGACATTTATGTTGTTACAGCAGAAAAGAGACCAAAAAATATCACTCGTCACCGGCTTGAGCTTCAATATCAGGATACATGTATTTATTATCCTCTCCAGAATGGAAGTAGTCATCACATACAGAGCATTTGATACAACTAGTTCCTGAACAGTGTCCTTCACATGCTTTTATACAAGAGAGGGTGTTACACAGTCACAAGATGGAGGAATACCGGTTCAAAGCAGTATTCAATGTTTAGTTTAGATTAGCTAAGACCCACGTTAGAAATGATCATGCTTGTCATATGTCTATCTCCATAGAGGCTGAATCATCATGTTAATCGTTGTCACATAGCTATCATATGCCTAAAACAGTGTGTCCTGACGCTCTTCTGAGTAATCAATCATACATCCTGTCGTGTACACAGCTACGTAGGGCCTTTGTTATCATGTGTACTCTGATATTGGAAGAGTACATTCAGTAATTTCCCAGCAGAGGGAGAGGCAAAGACAGCAAGATGTGATCAACTTTTTCTTCTTTGCAACACAAATGGTTTCAGAAACAGTTTTTTATCATTTCTAAATAGGCCTTGATGTCTGAGTTCTGTTAGCATATTCAAGTATTTATTCTCCATGTCACTTTTGATTAATAAATGAACCATCTACTCAAAACTAGTTCACTGATTTGAGCTGTGAAAAATGGGCCAAATGATGAAACTGTCAGTGAAGACTGAAGCTGCTCCTTCTGCTAATGATAGTAACACTTGTTTTTGCACCACAATAATCAACGACACAGGTTTTACTTGCAGAATGTGTTGAGTATGGCTTGGTGATTGTTCAAGATCAGATCTGATTCAGTGGTATAAGGACTTCATTTTCATTTGTTCAGCGCATTATTTTAATCCAACTTTAGTTAAAAACGATATGAATGACTGAGGTGTAGAGAGTTTTGTCCGACGGGTTGCAACAGGGGAACAAAGATGGTTCTTATTTATTGACTTGTTATATGCTTCTTTTGAGAATATACTGACATATTGATACAAGTGCGAAAACTATATATTGATTAACCAATAATCCAGTCATTTAGCAGAAAATGACTAAAGGTTGAATTCTTTAAGCTATCATACTAAAGCTTCTGAAATGTGAAGATGTTCTCCTTTCTGATTTATTTATATAAAACTAGCAATGTACTTTGGGAAATCATGATGGGTATTTTTTATTACGATCCGAATAAATATCCGCCAAAAAAAATCTGATTTATATTAATGATTTCAATCATATCCCCAAACAGCCACATTGTTAATTATGTATTTCCTAGAGTCTGCTATCTTTGAGTTTTTCTCCTTGGCTCACAAAACTAAGTCCCATCTGAAATAGCAGCATGGGCTCAGTTATTTTCTGGGAAAGAGTAAAGGAAAGAGAAATAGCTCCTAGTGATGTTTGACATTTTACAGGCTTCACACCGTCTCCTGATACAGTGCAGCAGAGTAGATTGACACTTCAAGCGGGCAGAAAGCAGGTCAGCCACGGCTGTAAACATTTTCTTATCACTGGTGAACAAATGTGCTCTGGTCCACCAGAAGCATATTTGCATTGCAACACACACCTTTTCTTCAATCATGTGCTTTAAATCCCCCGTCACGTTACTCTTTCACACTTTGAAAATATCCTGCTTACACTACAGTGTGTGTGTGTGTGTGTGTGTGTGTGTGTGTGTGTGTGTCGACCTGCCATCAGATAGGCAACTGGTGTGAGGATCACGATAGAGCGAATTTGAAGCAGTGCCGACAGGAAGCTTCAGCTTTTCATCAGCGTCTCAGTGTGTGCGACTGCCAGACAGATACACTCTGCCATGTTCAGCTGTGCACAGGCTCTGCAAATGCCACTATGAATATAAATGGTGCCTTTTCCTAAAGGAACATGCTTGGATTTATTCAGATCCTTTTTTTTTTGTGCGACTGGTCTGACTTGTAAGGCTGCCGACCATTGCGTTGAATTGCATTTAAAAGTTCTCTGTACAAAAAGTGACTTAGCAATTATGAATGTCAGTGATTTCTTGAATGCACCTCGAGTGAGAGTCCCTGCTCACAACTACACGCAATGATTACATAATTCAGAAAAAGGCTGACTAAAGGTTGACTGAAGGATTACTCGAGCAGGTTTACCGTCTGCAAAATGAATGAGGTGAAATCATCCGTTTTCTTTTGGAAAATGTACAGTGAATAAGGTTTGTATTAAAAAAGGCTGAAACATGCACTGGTGGGTCTTTCAATATTATATTCTGAACCTTGTCTTCAACCACCATCACATCTTACCGTGTGAAACCGCTATCATCTGATACCACACAACCCCCCCCCTGGCACGTCTTCTCTTCCGCTCACCTTGCGTCTGAAGACGGAGAAGGCCAGTCCGCAGGCTTTGCACAGCTGTCCGGCGCTCCCTGAGGCGGTGGGGGGGTAGGTGGAGTACCCAGCGCTGGGGGCGAAGCGGAAGGGCCCGGCCCCGGCTCCGAACCCCGGCTGCTGCGCCCGCACCGTGCCCGTGCCCATCACCTCGTTCAGCAGCCCACAGCATGACGCCCACATGGACGATGCCCCTGCCTGCAGAGCACACACACAAACACACACATAAGTTCACATTCAAAACATTTAGAGACATCCATCACAGAACTTTGAGATGGGTTATTAGAGCTGATTTCTGGCATGTACTTTAGGAATATTTGCACCATTTCCTACACATTTCTCCAAAACTCAGTCTTTCGAGGGATAAATGCAGTTTTTCCCAAACTAGTTTATTTATTTGGTGTCTTGATGGTGGAAAGGTTGTCCAACACATTTGTTCAAAATCTCCAAGAGGAGTTAGATTGAGTACGTTTTTGTGTGCCGTTTGCAAATATTTACTTCAGGTTTATTCAGTATTTCGTCACCTGGCTATTCGTAACATATTCACATTATTATCATGGTACAGATAGTTAAAGCATAACACCGGTCCTTTGCTAAATAATACCAAAAACTGCTCCCTTGTGAAAAGAAAGTGAATGAGAAAGAGAGCGGGGAGGGGCAGCACATTATTGAGAGTGCTTTGTAACAGTCTTTGAGGTTAGTGATGATTAGACTCTAAAAGCTCCTATTAATGACAATCTCCAAAGAGCTGCTGATGAAATGTCCCAGTCACTGCGTAAATTTGCACAATAGGATAGATAGACAAATAATCCACACAGAAGCAGAGGATGTGTAAACAAATAACTTGTGAGGGTCAAATGCTGCCTGTGTGTCCTAAGGAAACATGCGAACCAGCTGTAAGTCAGTTTGCTCAGCCTACTCAGTGAAAGTGCTTCGGATGTGCTTGCTGACCACAAGAAGGGCCAGACACAGGGAGCAAAGATGGCGTGATGCGAGCCACGGCTCCTTGGAGCATACTGATGAGAGGAGGAGGGAGGGGGCGGGCAGCGAGGAGAGAATATGTCTTCTGTTGTTCCCCGGCCTGCAGAATCAATAGCTGACATGAGCATAATGTAAGCCCTCTGTGGTTCCCGGCTCTATGCGGAAAAACAATTGAATTCACAGGGTCCTGCCACGGCGCTTCTTAAGGCAGCGCTTCGCTCCAACTTGTCACAAACACCTTGTGATCTGACTTCACCCATCTGCTGTGGAGTTCGTTATGTAATCTGAGTAACGAAGCACATGTGGAGTCACGGCAAGGAGGAGGAAGCCCCTTCGGCAGCAAAACAGCCAGGATGGATATTTGAAAGGTTAAAAGAGTTATTAAACTGTAAATGAACCATGTTTCGTTGGATGGATTGTCACTTTTATCAACAGACATTAAAATAGCTGTTCAGTCTGACCAATAGTCCTAAACCCTGGAATATTTAAGAAGCAGGAAGAAGTGAATGTTGGCATTACTGCTCAAAAAGTCACTTTAAAGGTTAGACATATTATCAATATTGGGATTTTTTTATTTTCTGTAATGTGTCGGCACTACTTTTTTGTGAATATTTGGTTTCACGCGTATTGTCCTTAGTTGAATCTACCACATTTCACTTTATCCTGATAAACTCTGCAATTTTGATGTGCACAATAAAACGATGATGCATTAAAACATCTTTATTTGTTTGTCCATGGCGTAAACTTGACCTGGTGTTCAGCTGCTAAAAAGTCTCCCAAGTTAGATACAGCCTCCCTGAGTGAAGCCACTAAAAGAGTTATTTAGTGCTTTCTCCGGGTCGAGGAGCCGCTGCAGTCTGACCGTGAAATCCGTGTTCTCTGGCTCTAAGCCAGCAGCACGACTTCCCTGTGTCACTTCAATTAGCAAACCATAAGCTCTGCAGGCAGGGAGTCCCGAAACAAGTGAGAGGAGCCAACGTCACACATTGTTTTGTTTTTATATGTAGCATTTATAGTTCTCTGCAGCTACAATAGGAGTATGATTTACCTCTCGGATTTCAATCACCTTTGGACCCTTTTTGAGTGACACTTGAGATACTTCATCACACTGCTACTCCATCCTCAACATCAAATAACAATCCAGCTCCAGTTTGCACAAACAAACAAAATGACGGAGGGGGTAGGCAACAAGAAGGCTATGTATTCAAATAGAAAAAGCCAAAAACGGAGAAGAATTAGCAATATTCAGGACGTGATCTCGCATCATAAAATGAGTTTTTCAGGATCAAAATCTCAAATTGCATTGACACAGACAAGTGTAACTGTTTGGCACAAGAGCCTTGATGAAGCGTGATGATACACGGGTGTTAAAGTCAAATTAAAACCAGTCTGACTCATAAGCAGAGAAAACAACATCAAGTGACGTTTGAGTTATTTGCTTCTGAAAAGGTTTGTAGTTGATTGAAAAAATGAGAATACAAAAAATAATAACTAAAATGTTTATAGCACCTTTCATAAACCCAAGGACGCTTGGGACCAAATACATAATGCAATTTAAAACTGTACGTTGTCAACGTACTCCACCGTTTTTGCACATGAAGGTTAGTTTACTCATTGCAAGGAGTCCTACACAGCCTGTTAAATAGTTGTAAGAAATGTTTTGTGGCTCTAGGGGAGGCTTTTTGAGACAAAACACCCCTGATGATGTCATTGGGGTCATTTCGTCTGATGATGTTATTTCACTTTTGGCTTGAGACTTACATTTTTTAACAGGAAGCCTGCATTAAAACTGGAGTTGAGTCCTTTGATAAATAACCGATTTAGCAGGCAGGGCGTTAATAAAATATGCTTTATAATTACATTATGGGATATGTAGCCTCAATCATCCCTCATACTAATTCATTTTCATGATTATTTATATATAATTTATAGATAGGAATATTTTTGGTTAATCCAATGAAAACACCTAATAATTAAGGTACTGAAAATAAATCCTCTGAATCTAATATTGCCACTGATACTCGAAAAGCAATATTCAGTGTCAACAACTGTGCACTATGGAACATTTTAGAGTCATTACCACTATCTTTCCATCATCCACTGTCTCTCTCTCGGCATTTCATTTCCTCTCTCTCTCGCAGTGAATCTTTTCTATCTGGAAATGTCACTCCTACTGTGAAAAGTTAATTCAGCTCCATCGGTGTTAAGACTGGAGGGTAATGCCACCAATAAACAATAATCGTATTAATGACTGTCTTTTGTTATTTTTCTAACAATGATGAGGCTTTCTATGACTTAGTTATGGAATACTATACGAGTTATGGAATACTAAACGATGGCTGTTAGAATTTGACAATATTAGACTGTATTGATGTCATATTTTTGCACATAGAAGGGTGCACAGTGTCCTCCCTCCCTTCCTTACCCCCCAAAATAAGGCTCCCCAAAAAGCAGCACTATAACTCTAACACTAAAAGAGCCATCACTCAAAATGATATTCAGTGAAGTCTGCTGCAGCCTGCTGATCCAATGAAGTCTGGAGAGATATGCACAGAAAGTCAGGCTGCTGCAGCCAAGTTCGGATTTGTGTCTGCAAAATAACCGATTCACTCCAAATGCAGGGGAGGACTAGCGGAGGATTTAGCCCAGAGAAAAAATATGGTGCAGAAATACAAACAGATATAGAACTGCTGCGGATATCATCCTGCAATAACAAACCCTGATTGGACTATTTTACAACACCAGAAATCTGCCTTGCCCCCTGGACTCTTTTTGTATCTTTACACTTCTTCACCTACTTTAGCAGTCCGCCCTAAAGGAGTTTAGTCTCATTTGGAATAATCATGATCCACTGTGCTACATTAGTGTTACATCTTATGAATTCATCAGAGTATTTACAGCCACGATGGATGGAAAATGAAACGTTAAGAGGGTTTTAAAAACAACATATTTATATATAAAATCGTATATATAAGTTATAGGTCTATCCCTGATTAAATTGACATTGATAACACAGTGGTCCGTCCCGCTTTGAGATGTATGCTTACACAATTCAGCCAACAACAAGTCTGTTCAACAGGGGCAGAAAAGCTGCTTTTCAATTTAAACCAGATTAGTCCATAAAACATCACGTCCAGTTTGTTTCCCCTGGACACAAGGACGCTGTCTGCTGGAGTTAAGCACCCTTGTCTTTAACAATAATGTAAAAAAACAATACTGAAGTACTTGACCTAGTAAGTTTTGAGGTATTTGCAGAATGAAAATGTAATCATTCATTGTGAAGACTGTGTCCATCCATTCAGTGTTACATTATTGTTGCATTGTGTGTAATCAAAGATACTTTTTGTTGAGTTTGAGCAGCAGAAAATCATGTTGAATGCGATTGCAGCAAATCATTGAAGCTTCATATATCGCTATCATGTTTATTCTCTCCACTGCATTAGATTGTAAGAGCTCCCTGTACGTTTTACATGTAAAATCAAATTAATTAAAAATGAATAATAGGATGCTACTATGGGAGTTTTGTAAATGTTTTTAGAAGCCAGCCAGATTAGAAGCCTTTTGTACGAATTACAAGTATAAATCCAACCATAAACATTCAAACATCCATAAACATTCATCTGTTTGCATCTTGTAAATTCTTTATCTAATATACTATATTCTATTTCTATTTTATTTGTATTTACTTGCACATCTCAAAACATTCTCTTGCACAATTTTCTCGGTTTTATTTGTTCTTATGTCCTATAGATAGATATATATATATTCATTCAGTCGTGTTGCACTGTTGGAGGAGCCTGTGACCTACTTTTTTCTTTGCCATATCTACACTGTAGCTAATGTGCACATGACAATAAAGCCTTGAATCTTAAACCTAAACATGTTTGTGAGAACCAAAACACTAAAGTAACATTTTTACCAATACTACATTTTTAGCTGAAATGCTTGATGCTGAATTAAAATCAACATCACACTAACTGGCCTTGAGATACTTTTTCCTCCTTTAACTCCAGATACATTGTTTACATCTAGAATGTAAAACCAACCTGAAAGCCAGAGCTGAGGAGTGGGATACGCTTGCATCAGCTGCTTGGGAGAATCCTCTGGCACACAAATCACAATACTTTATTATGAAATGCAGCATAGTGAAAGGTCACGCAGTATACAAACCTGTATTTCAAAACAGTGCTCAGGATAAGTATTTGGGAGTACATTTACTTATTTACTTTGCAATAAGAGAGGTTTTTATTTGCAAAATGGGGACATTATCCACAAGTCTAAATTGATGGAGAGATAAATATGAGGCATTCAATCAGCACAGGTTAACTGCAATAACAAGTGATTAGCCTGCTCTTCATATTGTGTTGTACACAACACTGAAGATGATGATGATGATGATGATGATGATGGTGGTAGCAGCAGTCTTCATGCCTTCACCTCAACTCTCACAGTGACTGTCACTACAAACCTACCGCGCCACCACCGCCAATGACATCATCGCCATCATCTTCATCATTATCCTTCCTGAGCTGCCAGACAGCATCATCACCTTTCCCTGTGCTGCAGCAAACACACACACTCCACAGAGAGGAAGGAGGCTCCTGACTCGGACCTGAGAGGAGAATCTGTCCCTCTGCACACCGAGACATCTCCAAACATCCCCGCACTCCCCCTCTCTCTGGCCGCAGTCTCTATCTCATTAGACCGGATTAACAGCCTGACCATGAATGGACGTCGCTCCAGAGGCTTTAGTCCATTGAACTATCAAACTGGGGTCACAGCGAGCTCGTTAAAAAGGCTACACACTGTACCTCCTGTTTATCCAGAAAACTGCAGGAGAAGGCTTGCAAGCTAGCCGGGGAAATAAATAAAAAAATCTTACTGAAAGAGAAGGGCACCGGCGAGAAGATGTCATGCTGTCAAGTTGAACCAAAACAGTGGATGCTGCATTTAAACGCAAGCCTGTGGATGTAATTACATTAAGTGCACACAAACACATTTAATTGGCATTACGCTGAAGGTATTCCCTGCCTCTCGGTGCAGCATCGTGCGTAAATCAACCTTAAATCTGCATCGTAAGAGGGTCCAGAGCGTAAAACAACCTGCAGCTGAATCACGTACCTTCATTTAACCTCCCGGTTAAAGAATTTGCCGAGTAATGTCAGAACGACGACCATTGCAAGTGCACAGGGAATCAAACCATTACGTCTTCCCTCTCTCAAACTGCCTGTGTGTGTGGAGTAAGCATAACGTAATGGCCAGGAGAGCCGCAGCCAATCACAGCGCGCACACAGCTGCTGGTATGTTTAGCAGCCAATCAGCTGCAGCACATCACCGGAGTGAGCGGGCAGAGCGAACAGGCGCATGTGTGAGCCTGACAGATGCATCATGCTATTTTCACAGCATCGGTTTATTCTAATGAATTAGTTCCCCCCAACAACACTATATTTAAAAAAGAACTAAGGCTGCATCATACCTTAATCAAATTCCGGAATCAAGTTTGTTTTAAATCGCTCAAATATTCCACACTATTGATTTATTTGCAAAACATTGTTTTTCTTTTAAATCAAGTTTTTTTTTATACCCTCCATGTTTTCATTTCAATTGCAAGAAGCAGAACCTATGATATTATCCTCACCACATATTGTGCGTTATTATGGTTTGTTTTGTAACCAAAGCTAAATGCGTCTACAATCTCGTTTGCCACCACATTGCTGTGTGTTTGTGCAGGCTGCAGTAAGGAGATTAGAGTGGTTTTCTTCCTCAATCACATGGCCGGTACCACTGTGAGCCCGCCCGCAGGAGGCAGCAGATAGCCTGCACATCATTACTATTGTCATCAGACATGAGTGAGCCGCAGGGGAGGAAGGCTCATGATGCTCTCTCTGTATAATGCAGCTGAATTTACACACACTTTATTAGTTATTCCGCTGTTGCAGCAGGAGCTGGAAAAGTACATTCTAGGTGGATGCGAGGAATCGTAATGATGCTAATACAGTATTTGGCTTCAGCCTCTTTAAACTCTCTTTGCCACTTCCAGTACATCAAACACTGACCCTATACCATGTTGATTTTATTTCATACAACCACATTAAAAGATCTGTGGAAGCCCCCGGGCCACCAGCGACACACTTCAGAGCTTTGCTAGGCCTAAATGTTCTTCCACAGGCAGTGTTCAAACATCAAAGTTGTTTTGGAGGAGGGAGTGTGCAAACTCTTTCTCACAGTTGAAAAGTGCAGACAACATATCAGTGATGTTAATTTCAGTTCAAATTACATATTTTCTCCGACCTCCAGTGCATGGCGTCAAGCGATGCAGATACTTGGGTTTTATTCAGCTCTTACATTTCTGCCAAACAAATATAATTATAGATTTAAATTAGGTTTGTCCTTCATTGGAAACAAAATCAACAGCAATACTGTATGTTTCTTTCTTCCAGAAAAATTGTCCCATTTCTTCAGATAATCCACAGAGCTCAGTCCCTGTGAAAACTGTTGGCAGTATTTCTTTAGAAAGTACATCCAATGAAAACAGTCAGCGAATAATCTGTAGTAACTGGGACACTGTTTCTTAAATAAATACCTTGCTGTTGTTTTTGATAGCTGTAATATTTGCTGCTATGAGCACCACATGACTTCTCTCTTTAGTTGTTTAACCAAGCTTTTGGATCAACTCTGTATGATACTGAATTATGTCAAACCTTATAGACATGATATGCTCGATGGGAAACAATCGGCGTGATTGTTGTTGGACTTTTTAAAATTTAAAACAAATGTAGAATACTCTCTCCAGCTGTTAGTAGCTTGGTTTTGAGGGTGTAAGTAAAGTGAGAGCCGATTGCCCTTAGAGGGTTTACTATTTTAAGAGTGGGTGTTGTATTTGTATCAACCCTCGTTCCTCTTTGGCCAGCCTCACCATGGGCTGTATGACTGTCACGGTCTGTCTGTGTTGTGTTTGTCTCTGTCTCTGGTTTCCTGTTTTATTTTGAAAAGTATTCACCCCGTCTTGTCTGTTGATTCCTGTCTCTGTGTTTGCCCTCCTGTGTCTGATTGTCTGATTGTGTTCACCTGTTGCCCTTGTGTTTCTGCCTCCCCTGCCCAGCTGTGTCTTGTCCTGTGATTACCCTTCTTTGTATTTAGTCTCGTCTTCCCCTGTGCTCCAGGTCGGTTCATTGTTTGTCTTTCCTGTCTCCCTCCATGTGGATCACTGTTAGTTGTTTCCTTGTGCTACGTTTCGATTCATGCCATGTTTTGTTCTTTAGCTTTTAAATAAAACTTGCTTTTGTTTCTAGACCTTTTTACCTTTTTTTGTAGTCTGCTTTTGGGTCCTTCCTTTTCCCGAATCCTGACAATGACCTTCCCATCACTCAAACTAAAAGGCACATGCATAGACTAAACTAAGAAATAAAGCCACAACAACTGGATTCCCAGATCCTCCATACATAAAAGAAACAACAAAAGGACATGAGGACAAAATAAAGAGCAACATCGTAAACTAAGGATGATTTCGCACTGCAGTGTCTCGCAGCAAAACCAGAGAGAGGCTGATTTCCCCTCCAGCCTTTCTTTTGTGTCAGTGATCAGTTTAGATCAGCAACACCTGAGCAGAAGTGGAGCCTGCAGCTGATCGGGAGCACCTGAGCAGAGAGATCAAACAGGGATAGTGTGTAACACAACACAATTAATGTTTTTTTTCTAAGTGACAAAAGTGATTTTTATTAAACCGAGAGAAAGGTTAAAAAGCAAGAGGTTTCTTCTACTTTTCTTTAAATTGTCTATTCTCAGTGTACACTATGGGCACTGGAAGCTTAAGGTGTTTCACATAAAACAAGTTAGTTTGTCTCAAAATCACTGTATGTTTATGTGTTTTACTCAAACTTAAGATAAACACAGATTTCTTTTCAACCTGCCTATACAGTACATCATCTTGGAGTGGACGGGGAATAAGTTGATAAAAAGAAAAATAATGAATGAGAAATGTTCCATATTACATCCAGTTAATTTCTTCATTGTACCTTTGTCTGATCACCAAAACCTCCAAAATATTCAACATGTAATGATAAACATGGGAAACGCAGCACATATTACATTAGAAGTTGTTACCAGAGAATATTTGGCAGTTTGCTTGATCAATTATGCATGTTCTGATAAATTGACCACCGGAGCATGTCAGCTGAATACACACCTGACACGTTTTGACATATTGAGTGAACATGCACTCTTTAAAATTCATTTTCTTCCCACACTCTTAGCATCTGTGCTTTGCTCTCACAATGCCTCCCGATTTCACAACTCAGCAGGAGTAGGATCTAACCCATCCATCTGCTTCTAGTGATGCAGTTTCAGAGGAAGGCCAAGTTTTCATGGAAATATCAAATATTTACCAGAATATATTTACCCTGGGGAAAAACAAATGAAGATGACACCTTTTATGGGATTATTTAGGATCCCCCGCATTTCTGTGGGTGGTTTACCGTCAGATGACTTTCCAAACTAAACTTTGCAATAAGAACCAGATGAGAAAGTGAAAAAAAATGTATTGGCCTGCCTGCGGGAAAGTACAACACTTAAATGTCTCCAGGATTGCGAAACATGAGCAATAAAAGCACTGAAGAGATGAACGATAACTCCTCAAATGACCTCACACTCTCCCTCCCACACATATATACAAACACACAGAAGCAGTAATACAAATGTAAACTTGTTTTTTAATCCAAATCATCTTAAATTTAACATAACTTCCCTGTAAATATATATGTTAATTGGATGGCAAAAGTTAACAACAAACTTCTTGCAAAGTCTCAGCAATGTGTGTTGACTTTATGCCAAAAAGAACTAATCATGATTCCAGGAAACAGAGTTTTCCCATTTCCTTGAAATACTTGCATAACACTTCTTCTGAGCCTTCAGGGGCCAGAGACACGTGTCAGTGCAGATGAATAAAATATTTAGTTTCACTTTATAAAGCACATGCAGCTGCTTCCTGTACAGACATGCCCCTCGTGGAGCTCTGTGCTGCTGACAGGAGCCACTAGATGGAGTGTGCATGCTTTCAAAAGAAAAGCAATCTGCTGCTCAATGCGCGTCTGATTGAAGAAGTTAAACAATTGCTGGCACATCTGCAAACTACAAATCACATTATAAGGAAGAGGCAGTTTAAAAAAGAATGAAAACTAAGACATCAAATATCGGTGATGGAAGGATTTTACCAACTAAAGTGTGTAAACGTCAAAAATGTACTTACAATGCCAAAGGTTACAGTACTTATTAGGCAGAATGGTCCATTTTAGATTGTATTGTATTATTGGATCAACATTATTGATGCACTAATGACATTAGTCATAATCTAAACATAATATTGAATCTAAACATAAATCTATCAAAACATTTTTGTATACACACACATCATTCATTGATTGGGCGTACAAACCCTGAAAGTTAGTAAGGGACGCATTACAGATATCCTGATGACTGTGGGATTTTTCAGCAGCTGGTTTCCATGTCAGCATTTTAATCCATTGTGTGTATGAGAGCAGGCCTGTCGAGAGTAGAATAATATCAACATCCTGCTGACTTGTAGCTGCTCTGCTAGCGAGGCCTTCTCATGTTCGCGGGGGGAGAGCCTGAGGCCATCCGTCTCGATCCGATCGTCCCTCCACAGAAAGGAAGAGTGTCGGATAACACAGGATGCTGCTCCCAAACACCCTGATTCCACTACATCATGTCTTTGCTGTTTGTCAGACATAAACAATGTGCAGCAGTGGGGAGTAACAACGTTTATTTTACGGTGCAATTTAATTACAGCAAGTACAGCTGTGATAAGCACAAAGTTCAGCCTCCAAAATGACTATAGAATTGATTAAAACCTCAAAACAGGTTCAAAGTTCTTGACTTTCGAAACAGGAGTTCAGAATCAGGCTCACCAGGTGAAAATGGGTTTTGTGACAGTTGTTCCATTTAAGAATTACACGAAAAAAATTTTTTTTTTTATTACAGATACTTATACAAGCATAAGAAGTTAAAGTGAGGATGTGCAATACAACAATAACATACAATAAAGATATGAGATATTTAAGAAATAAAGTTCAAATGTGCTCATTGTACTACAATATATAGTTATAACAGAGCTGCCAAGTCTCACCCTTTGAGAGTCACGCAATGTTTTTAATTTAATGATATATTTCCATAACTTGTTGCTTGAGGCCTGCCATAGTTCGAGTCAGGGACAGGGTGAGCCCGCCCTATTCTGCCCCCGATTGGCTGACCGAGATATGTGATAACCAATCATCAGCCCTCAAGGCTAAATCTAACCAACCCAACGAAAGGCACCACATATACAAACCAATCAGAGGCAGCTTAGGGCGGGTCATTGCGTCTCTATCCTATGAAGACAACTCTATGAGAACAACACTTATGGCGGAGAAATCGAAAAGTAAACGTGAGATGTCTGTCAACCAGGGCCGGCCCTAGACTTTTGGGGGCCCTAAGCGAGCTTTGGCTTGGGGGCCCCCCTCACTCTGGCGGGTTCTCCCTACACACAACACGGAACCAACTTTTGTCTTATGATGTTAGCATGAGCACACATATTGTATAAATAAGCATGTAAACACTGTGGACCTAACTTCATCTAGGGGGGGTCCTCATCTCCGCTAGGAGGGTCCGGGGGCATGCTCCCCCGGGAAGATTTTTTTTAAATAATGAAGTTAAAAGCATCAATCTGGTGCACTTTGAGAGCAAAATTAAGAGATCTATGGATACATCTCTCAACATCCATATGAAACAGAACTGTAAACAGATTTTATTTTTCTTATATTTTACAAATCACTCCCCTTTTAAACTGTATTCTTGTTTTGTCATATAGTATTTCACAACTGTTTTTCATTTATTCTCTCTGGCTTTCCATCTCATAATGTTCACATAGAAACTAGCTGTCAATAGGAATATCATTCAGAAGAATTATAATTTCTTGCAAAAATCTGTCACAAAAAGAGGTTGCACATTTAAATTCAGGTGTTGTTATGGCAACGTCAGTGGCCAAACAGACACATTTACATTTACTTGCTAACGGTTTAGCTTACCCCGC